CTAGATTTACGGAGCACAAAAGACAGCTGTTTTATATTAGTTTATAAAAGTAACAATAAGACATTTGTCATGATTTTCAACAAGTGTTATGGTTTATAACATATATTACGGTAATTATATGTATATATATAATATATATAATATATGTGTATAAATTATATATATATATATATATATATATATATAATTATATGTATACCATATATTATGGTAAGTAACATATAAATTGAATAAATAACTCATCAATGTATCTTTACGATATGAATAATCGTAAATATTAAAAAATTAGTGACCCGTCATTTTGACGGGTTCCATATAAATCTAGTGTTAATCACTAGCAGCGGGGGGGAATGGCCAGGGGGGGTCGCCAACAAATTGCTACCTTTCTCGTTACTAGTCACCGATCTGTATACAGTAAATTCTCCCTAATTTTCCTTCAGTCTGTAAACAAAACTGGACAATTTGAGATGAGAAGATACGATTATTCGAGTCTTGCAGCTCGTTTTTATAATTGAATGATTTCCCTCTTCCCACATTGTCCATTTTTATTTATAAGCTGAAGGAAAATTGGGGAGAATTTACTGCACATGTACGACACAATTTTCAACTATCCTTTCGACATTCTCGCGTTAAAGGCAACAGTAAATTCTCCCCAATTGTCCCTCAGCTTCTAAACGAAAATAGACCATTTGAGAAGAGGTGATACGATTATTTTATAGTTGACAATCGGCGATTATAAAAACGAGACGCGAGACTTGAATAATCATATCTGCTGTTCCAAAATTGTCCATTTCTGTTTACAAGTCGAAGGACAATTAGAGAGTATTTACTGTATGTCCTAATTAGATGTTGCACAACGATAAATACAACAAGAAACAAACAAAACAGATCTTATAAATAAAATTATAAATAATCCTAAGCATACTCGGTTATATTTTTGTTAAAAAGGTCCGCCGTTCAAGCGTTAAACAATTTCATCGACAAAGGTGAGCAAAGTTAATAACAATGATCAGTAGTAAATGAATCCAACAAGATACAATTTTCGCAAGCTGACCTATCGAAGATCTGCAAATTGAAATGACAAATGGTGTCTCGAAGGATGTAGAAGACGAGCATTAATACAACCGCGGAAAAATTTCGTTAATCATCGTCGCGGCTGAAAGTGTGAAATCAACCATTTCACGTGGCACTCGCAGAAACTGCCCGCGCCATTTCCTATCCGAACGGCGACGAACTTACCCATTATCTTCGACAATTTTACAATCTGTTATTCGCGTGAATCTGCCGGTCGGAGTAAGAGCCCATCCAACAGGGTATACTTAAGACGATCATTTCGCTCCCTAATGTCCACTTTGGCACCCGACCGTGATTGCGCGAGCATCCCAGCTCGGATGGCTCCGGAGTATTCCCAAACCGTGAAGAAATCGAGGGAGATTGCGCGCGCGAACGTTGTGAAATCGCACGGCGTATCCGCACGCATTCGATACGAAAAGAATTCCCAAAAACCCTTCGCCGGAACGGACGGCTGGCAATTAGAAATCTGAAACCTCGCACAAAGGACAATCGCTGCTGTAACCGTTCTTATCCGCCGGGAATATGTTCACACGTCCAGCTGAAATCACGGTCGCCCCGTTCTGCGCGCGAGAGGAGATGAGATACATGCTTAAATAACTCGATACATTTTTCTTTCGTGTACATAATTTCACAGTTTATGAGAACGTAATTCCATCCATTTATAATTTATACAAGAGAAACTGTTTATTTATGTGTTCTGTTTGTGTGTCGGTCTCTCTCTCTCTCTCCCTCCCTCTCTCTGTCTCTCTCTCTCTCTCTCTCTCTCTCTCTCTCTCTCTTTTTTCTCACTGTCTCTTTTCTGTTTCACCCTTTCTCTCGCATCCGACTCGCTCGCTCACTCGCTCTCTTTCTCTGTGTACAAACGGAATAATTTTATTCATGTCCTTGTTATAAACTCTACGTTGTGGGAACGAAATTTGCTTACAGGGGTTTCGAAAGATGCGCTGTACCACGGCGAACGAGAGGATTTCCAAGCCGAAAATTATTCTTTTATCCTCGTGCGATCATTGTTCGTGAACCGTTCGCCCCTCCGACGATGAAAATCGCGATACACAAGCCGTTCTGTATGCCGCCGGCACGATGAATATTCCATGAACCGACACGAGGGCCGTCCAGGAAGTGACAACCGAGTGCGCATGCAAAAATGTACAATGAATTTGTTTAAACGCAACGTTATCCAAACGGGTCACGAGGCGTCTTCGAACCGATAGGAAACGCGGATTATCTGAGATCCGTCTGGTTTTCTTATTTAAATGCAAAGTCCTACGATGATTAATCCGCGTTCTATCCGAATCCGAAGATGCCGATTTGGATAACATTGTACGTATTTAGTGCTATACAATCTTTCGCTACCAGTCTGTATAAGTCGTCAAAATTGAGACACTTGCTGCACCCCGTGACATCAATCTTCGCCCCGGTAGCATGCTAAATTGGCCTCTAGGGGGGGGCAGAGAACGTCACGCACACATAGAGCTAACAGACTATCTATCCCGCTCGCTTCATACAGGTAGAACGTCGTGTCCCAAGCTGGCAATAAATCTGCTAGAGCGTAGGGACAGGTAGGACTACGCTGATAATTTTCAGATCCTTCAGCAACACTTCGAAATTTGATTCTATCACTTTTGATTCTAACATACGTTCCCGCAACGCGGTGAGCAACATTTCAGCGTACAGCGAGAGGCGCTGTGTTTCATTAGACGAGAAACAAGACCAGAGTTGTCTGCGCAGTCGGCTCTCGCTTTCCGGATGAGAAATACGAATCCTCTCGTTCCGTTCGCGATCCGTTCGATCGGCGCCAACGCGCCTTTTTGGGGAACACTGCGGGTTCGCTACTCCATATCACTAAATTGAATATTTAACATCGTTACGCGACTGGCCCGCACGTCATTGGGAAAACTCTGTCTGCCCTCAAATCATCGGTGACGTGTTCATATAGAAACCCGTAGAAAATAAATTGCCTCCTACGCGGCCGGCTCTGTCCGCACGATTTACAACTGCGTCTCGGTAGCCGTGTTCGGTGGACAACGTCGGTCACGCGAATAAAAAATAATGCTACTTCGCGGAGAAGTATTGTCAGGAAAGACAGCCGATCGATCCGGTGGTTCTTTTCTTTTCCTTTTTTTTTTGTTCTCTATACGGAATTTTATGCGATCGTATTTTTATCTCGTCTATTGTTCGTCGAACGCCAAAGCGATCGATTTTATTCGCCTCCGAACGCCGTCGCTTACACGTCGTCGGATAAATCTGCTCGAAATTCGCACCCGCACATTATTATACGCTTGTATACTGGCGATGCACGCAATTACGCCAGGCAAGGCAGTGATTATAGTATACACACTCTTCCTCTGTTTGGGTCATTTCACGTCTGATCGATCGAGTTCAGGATTTACCAATTTGCTGCACGCGAATCGGCCGACACTCGTCTCAATTGATTCCTCCAATCGCACTTTTGCCAACGAAATAACTTGTTTAGTGTATATTTATTGCTGGGCTGAGTCAGTAAGTGCACTGTGAATTCTTACGCATATCCGGCGACGATCTAAAAGTTGCATACCCTTTCATCATGCTCTCTCTCTCTCTCTCTCTCTCTCTCTCTCTCTCTCTCTCTCTCTCTCTCTCTCTCTCTCGCATAGTCGGAAAAGGAAATGCTTGTCTGACCTCGGTATCTGCAAATTATCGCTATATAGTAATATGTATATAAAAAATGTATATTCGTATAAACGTTCGCAGCGTAGTTACAAATAATTACCACCTGTCTCGGAGACAATTTATACTCGGAATCGTCTAGCAACTATAAATGCTCGATAGCTCGAATGAAAACGACTTCGTACGAAGCCGACTGGTTCAAAAAAATACAGGGTGTTCCACCCTATATTATCCCTATATTATCCACCCTGTATCTGAATATAAACGGATTATCGTTTCTAATCTTCAACAAGCATATCTAGAACCTGAAATGTCTCGTCCGATGCAATTCTAATACTGAATGAAAAATTTTAGGAGCCGAGGTTACTCGAAGTTTATACTATTTTCGTTCAGCCGTAAGAGGTGACAATTTTCAGGTGGAACAGCCTGTACACAAAGTCAACAGTTTCCACAATAATCGAAAACACGTAACCTACCGATCTCAATTGTAAGTCGTACAAAAGTGTAAGTTTCAGAAAAAATGGATATTATTCATAACGGAACGTTATAGAAATCTCATTGAAGGTTCACGACATTGAATTACGAATTGGAAACGATCTAATATTCAAGGTCCTCTTGCCTTGGCTTGCTTTCATAAAACGTATCTGATTATATCACCGGTGTACAAACACTGTTGTCGCGACAGCGGAGTATATGTTTCGATTTTCAAAAGACACGACCTCCGTTAACAATGTTCATTCGCAAAAGTGGAATCAAGCATAACCATTAGCGAAAGTGGCAATTTTCTGTGCAACAACCTGGTATCATCAATGTTGCTGTGCCCCGCGGTCAACTGTGGACCTGATTACGCCGAGCAGTCTCGTGTATCAATCGTGTCTTACACACACTTTATATCCTATCAATGATCGATGGTATGGTAACAGGGGGGAGAGGGAGGACAAGGGAGCCGGGACAAAACGAACATGACCACATCAACGAAATTCTACCTCGTGACGTTTCAACGTTAAATGACCCCGTCGTATTTTTCCCTACCTAAAAGTACTTAATATTTGTTTCTTCATTGTTAACATGATACACGGTCTAATTCTCTGTGTCGCATAAACATTTATTTATTCATGTCCACGGTATCGTTCCTTCTTACGGATAGCGTGTTTACAACGATACTAACTCACCTAATGACTTCTCTCCTTTCTCTCTCGCTCTCTATCGTTCTCTCTTTTATTCGTGCGCGCGCGCACACATACACACACACTCACACACACACACTCTCTCTCTCTCTTTATTTCTATTTCTCTCTCTCTCTCTCTCTCTCTCTCTCTCTTTCTCTTTTTCTCCGTTTCTGTTTAACGTAATTCGGAACGGGTCGCGAGTTAATAAACTACAGAATCTACAAGAGTCTACCTTAAATAATTCGAATAATCCGATTTCGATTCGACTTCACGGCTATAGTACAATGTTACAAGCATGGTTTCATGGTGGATCGTCAATAATGACCGGCGGTTCCGTTCTCGGTTCCGTCCGGCTGGACTGAGATCTAGCGATGTAGATTAATGATGTCTTATATTATACGCAAAAAAAAAGTAAGATCAATCGATGAAGGAGCAGTTCGGGTAATATACACGTTTCTTTGTTTCTCTCTCTTTTGTTTCGTTGATTCAGAAACGTCGTTACAGATCCCGCTCCGTGTGGTTCGAATACGCTAACCCTAAGTATCATTTAGTTATTTCTGTTCTCTCATGTTTGTTTCACACGGTACACAGGACTCAGACTTTCTTAAACTTTTAGTAATAATGCTTACTGCGTTTTTCTCTTTTTTTTTCCTACCCGTTGTTAAATCAACGTGGCTTTGTCTGAAATCATATTCACGAGCTCTGAATGGTGTTCGTGCACGTTAAACATTTCCGATTCATCGGGCACCCAAAAAAAGAATTCGATTAAAGTCTCTCCGACACAGTTGCATTCTTCTTGGACGGTTTCGCGACATTCGAAAGAAGAAGAAGTTTGTGTTCCGAATAATGTAACGTGCAACTCTCAGGCGAAACGACGGCGACCCACGGCACTTAATTAATTGTCGACAAGTATCTCGCTCGTTGCTAGATTACATGTAAATTTCTCTTCAAAGAGATCATTTTACGAACACCTGGTTTAAAGAAAACATTATTTCCCAATCAGAAAGTTTGTTAACGTTACATAAAGTATCTGATTCGTTTATTGCTTAGGCGTTAGTGCGAGACAGTCGAACGAGGTAACACAAATATGCATTAACACGTTCAGGCACCTTCGATATAAATAGCTCGTCCGAGACATTTGTTCGAACCTACAATCCCTACCGCTTTGATTAGGAACAGGGACTCGCGTAATTCTAGATGTCGCTAAGCAGTTCCCGATTCGCCAGATAACAGAGACATCATTGCTGATATGTACAAGATTAGGATATTTTAGAAAAAGACAACGCATGCTAACAAACCCCAATTTACCCGAGAATTCCTGCCGCTCTTTTTATTTTTAGAAATTAGTAATCGTTAACACCGCTTATTTCGAGATCCTAGAATTTCGCAATCTCAATCAAAATCCCGGACATCCCGGCAACCCTAATTCGCGTAATAGCCACTCGCGAACTTGAATACGTTAAAAGATACGAGAAATACGACCTCGGCGAACCATCCATCCAAGAAGAAACAACTCCTTCGCACTGATCATCCGAGCAAAGAGGAAGGATAACTTTCTTGGGAACCCAATGAGTCGTCCAAAGTTATTAACAGAATGAAGAAATGTAATAAGTGTAAGAGATACAAGAAAGTTTACAGTATCGTTACTTAAAATCATATTACATTATCAATTTCCGGTTAACTAGACGGCTGACGGCCATAATCTGCTACGACCCCCAATTCAGATTCAGTCGGGCGTCGAGGAAAGAAGGACACACGCATTGGTAACAAGTTCCTTGTGCTTTCCTCGATCGTAGAGTAATTCTCAGAAAAATTCGAACTAGATTATTACGCGGAGAAGAATTGGAGAATCATAGCAGAGGGTGAACCGTCCGGTGCACGGGGGAAAATACTTCTTGCCCTGTTCCACAGTCTTGGAATTGTCTGTACGACTCTGAAACAGTCAACTAACGGTAAACTAACGGCTCCGTCGCCAAGAAACGAGTCTACGGATTGGACAAAAGGAATGATCGAGTCCGTCGGACCCTGCGGGTGACCTTCACCCGTGCACCGGAGGGTGGAAGAAACAGAAACACGACTGAATCGAAAAAGATGTGAAGACGTGGCAGGGTTAGGAGACAGGAGCTGCATTACTAACCTCTTCTTCGGAGGCTTGAGTAAAGGCCGCTATTGCCTGTTGGACCTGCGGTGCGGCGGGTGCAGCAGCAGGATGCGCCGCGACTTGTTTGCCGATTTTAACGGCATCCTGTGTCGCTTGCGTGGATTCGGCCCTCCTAAGATAAGCGGCCTCCTTTTTAGGTGGTACCACCGGTTTATTCGGTGGTACTGGGGGAGGGACCCCGCGTGATATCGGTGGCTTTTTCGAGGGCAGCATGCCAGATGCTTGAACGGTCGAACCGGAGCCAACGTGAAAACCGAGCTTGCCTGCAGTTTGCGTCGGCGGGATAAGTTTTACTGCGCCTCCAGGATTAACGGTAGCAGGTACAACCACACGTTTCTCTACAGCCTGAGGAATGAATACACACGAGAACCGATTTAGCCACGCAGCTAGCCCTTTGATGTAGCCTCAATGTGTTAGGGTACCCACAGCGATGGATCTTCCAGCCGCTCTAGGTATCATCATCTTCCGAAAAACTTGAGCTTCCTGAATCGCCAATCCTAGCTCTCCCTCTCTCTCTCTCTCTCTCTCTCTCTCTCTCTCTCTCTCTCTCTCTCTCTCTCTCTTTCTCTTTCTTTCTCTTGGCTAGACCTGGGTAACTGGTGTACCAAAGCAAACGACGCTCGACGGTCGACTCGCAGGAACTCGTGAGGGGAATACGAATTCTTAGGTCGTGGGTCCACTTGAGAATTTCTCGCGTTAGTTGCTCTCGATAAACTGCGTAGACATTTTTCTTACTATGGGCATCCTTGGGACGCAATCGATTATAAGTGTAATATAGATATTAGCGCAACGACACACAGTGGTACCTTTTCTAAAATAAAAGTTGACCAAAACGCAATTTGCTAAGTACAATGAATTCTCCCTAATTGACGCTCAGATTATGCACAAAAATGGACAATTTGGTAAGAAGAGATATGATTATTCGAGCCTTGCAGCTTGTTGAAAATCGATAACTATAAAAACGAGCCAAATAATTGTCCATTTTTGTGTACAATCTCAGCGCCAATTAGGGAGAATTTACTGTATACAGCAGCGGTAACATACATACAGAGTGTCCCAAAAATGTTCGAATCAAATAAGATGAGTAATTCCTGAGATCATTCGAAGATATCCTTCTTGGTGAAAATGTTCTCCGCGGTTTTATTAACGAGTTATCAACAAAAAAACACTGACCAATCAGACGGCGAAGTACTAGCTGTACTGGCTCTCTGATTGGACCGTGGTTTTCGTTGATAACTCGTCAAAATTAACAATTAGCAAAGCCACGGAGAACATTTTCGCTAAAGAGAAGCGTCTCCAAACGACTTCAGGAGAATTACTTATTTTATTTGACTCGAACAACTTTGGGACACCTTGTATGTTTTATACATTTCGGAGCATCAAATGCGATGCGATTCGAAATTTTCAAATATCGTGCCTGGTTACTAAGATACAGGTCATCGAAGTGGACGAATTTTCGTGGCCCGTGAGAACTTAGCAGATGATAACATTTTTAATGTGTCCAGCTAAAGTTTATCGTTCAAGGAACCTTTTGTATAACATTCTAGCATTAAAATTTATGTTATAAGGATAAACTTTGCGCATGAGCAACGTCAAATAATTTTGGATCAAGTCTTATACTTCCGTCCTTAATATCTCCTAAATCGTGGTCATACTAATAACGTAACGGTAGAAAAAAGATGTTAACTATAATTTTTAAGTATTTATGTGCCAAATAGTGCCATCAACGCTTTCCGTAAATGATATTCAGGATTTCGTCTATCTTAATGTTAATGCTACACAGTTTTTAATGAATTTCCTAATTACTTACATTTGTGACTCAAAAGGTAGTAAAAGGGATAAAGTGTATTCTGAAGCTGGAACGACAGAGAAAGACATATTACTATTAGTATTAATTAGGGCGTTTCCTAATTAACTGTACCTATGTAATTGTAACTCCATATAACTTAATATACATAACTGTATTAACTATATCTGTAAATACATTTTTATACTATAAAAATTCAAATTATTTTCACTGTAAATACAGCTTCAGACAAGATATTTGTACCACGTTGCCCACTAAACATTTTTAAAAAAATCGGAAAAATAAACATTTTTACCATAATTACTCACAAAACTGGTTTAAAATTAACATATTCAAATTAAGCTACCCCAAAAACATAACTATCGATTTTCATAAAAATCATACGCACTTATGAATTATGGCCAACTTTTCGAGAGAAGGGATCACTATGCGACAGAATGTGGCGTCCAGACTCTCCGAGACAGACACTGCTGCGTTTCCGAAGCAACTTGAGTCTCGAGAGTAAAGAGCAACTCTCAAAAGTTTTACTCTCAAGTGGACGCATACTTCTATGTGTATGCATACTCCTCATGAGCTCGTGCGAGCACAAGTGCTCGCCGACTGACATCGTTATGCCCGATGACTACAGAAAAGGGGAGAGATATCAAAGGTTCGCGAGGTTGAAGATTTTTCACTGATTGGTCACTCAAAAGCTAGACTATGGCCGATTGAACCCGTAACCCTTCTTTCCACATAGTCATCAAGCTTTCAAGAGAGTAACAATCACCTAACAATGTTGGTCCAATGACTACAGAAGACCAAGGATTCGCATACGGTTCAGACTTTTTACCTTGTAGGTTTCCCAAAAGCTAAACAAACAAGTTGCTTTAATCTCTGAACTTCCTTTTCCCGCAGACTCCGCGAGACTCGAATTTGAAAGGACTTTTTCCTAAATCTCTAAAGCCTTCGAAAACCTGACTGTCTTATGGTGCTTATATGGGTGGGAGGGTTGCAACTTTTTGCAAACCAATCAAGCTCAAGTTTTTCAGCCGATTAGAGCTGAGATTGCTTGAAGACCCATCACTAGGTATACGTCAAAGACATACTGGCATACTCGGACTTTTTGCTATAATGTAAGTTACAAAGGACAGCTTTTGTAGTACTTTGAAATATTACGACAAAGTACTTTGAAACTAAAATATAATCAATATACTATCTTTGTAACTTGCATTATTGGAACAGATCTGAGTCTGCCAATAGTTTTTCGATCGGCTGTAGCTTTAGAGCTGGCGTCTAAAGAAAACTAAACGAAGGAATAATTACACCAAGACACCGATCCAAAGCAGAAGAAAAAATAATAACCCACCCTGAATTGTACAGAGTGGTAGTAATTAAAATGAAGACCATATTAGGTACCTAAGTGAAGTATAGTGTATACGTTTTAATTTATCTAGCTAGTTCCACCCGAGATGTTGATTCCTGATAACAGTGAGCGAAATCTAAATATACCAGCATGAACTAACATATTGTGTGCAACTTGGTAATGTTATTTGTAATACAAAGCATGGAAAAGTAATACAAGACGTGTTCGGCGAGCGAAAGATAATCGGCAATAGAGTATTTGAAGAATTTGAGTCCTCTATCGTGGATAGAACGATAATCTACGTTCTTTGTTAGGATAATACATTATAATAAATTCGAGGAAAATAATAGATATACAACCAAACCATATAAAGTTAGCAGTAGCAAATACAGGGTTGCAATTAGGAGGGCAAGCAGGGAAAATATGTAAATAAGGCTCAAAAGTGAGTTGCATACAGTTTTTTTAATTAAGGAAATAATCAATGTACATACTAAATAGTAATCTTATGTACAAAATAAGAATAGCATAATACAATTCAGTTTAACACGTTGACTGACGAACAATCACCTTCGAAAAATCCCACAAAATCAAGAAAATTTGATCATTGTATTTCAGATTACAGAACTAAAACTTATCACAGTGATTATTCTTTCTATTTTCTGAAATCGTATAAATCCTACAGAAATTTCATTTAAGCGACTATTGCATAAAAGACGAAAATTAATTTCCGAAGTAAACAAAGAATTTATTCATATATAACCAACATGGCACTCAACGTGTTAAAAACCTGACGGTGTACTAACTTATATAAAATAATACAGTGTGGTATGATCGGTATGAATAAAATTTTACAAATAATTAAAAATGTATGTGTGTATAATGCAAACTAAGGAGGCTCCTGTCATGTAGCCTATGGTAATAGGAGAGAATCTGATCTTTGCTCTAACTGTACATTATGAACTTGATTGCTGCTATATGCACTACTATTTTATATTTTCATATAATACATAATTACTAAATGACTGTTAAAACTAACGTAATATTTAAAACAAAATCTACGTACAACACATCTATATGAGTTGTATGTACGTAATCGTTATACCTATAATTCACTGATCACATGCACTTTGTAGATTCTACAAAAGTTTAGGACAAGCACCGACTACCCTAGTGTTTAGGTACCCGGGTCTGTTTCAAGATAAAAAAGATTTCTCGAGTTCTACTCAACTCGCCCGGTACTTACTAGAGTACCCAGTTAATCACGATTAGAAAAACATCCCATTTCACGCAAATAGTCGAATACTCTCATAGCCAGATAAAGTTTTGATTAATTTTTCATCAAATACTAAAACAATGAAACAATTAATCTTTTTAATTTAATATCCTTATTTTGTAATGAAAGTACCAAGTCAACATTTTCCTTCATCAGTCACAATAATCTTTTAATTTTAATTACTACCTTTAGAACGTTTTTCACATGTACATGTATTTCATTTCTCTTCAGGAAAACGATTTTCCTTGAATAGTTACGTATATCAAATGCCGTAAAATGTTCTCCCATTTTTATCATCTTCCAATGCATAAAAATTGTAATGACCTTACAATGCTTTAAATAATAACATTGGTTTATCTTGAATTTAAATATTTCATTTCATTATGCAGATGTAGAAATTAGACATGAAATGTTTTATTATTATAAAACATACTAGACATTTTATAAATATGATATGAGTAAGTACTTTTCGAATTATCTTTACTATTTTCATATGATGATTTTGGTGTTGATAATTCGTTAGTATCAATGTTCAAAAATTCAGTTGATGTGTTAAGAAATGCAAATTAATATAATTTACTTCAGTCTTTGTTAAAAAATTCATGTGATTCAGTGGATAAATAGATAAATGACTCCATGTAAAGCTTTTATCTGGAAATAATCTAAAGATGAAAAATGTGTTACATGTAATTCACCAGTTGCATTACATACTGACAATGATGAACCATCAATATCATAACCAGGATCATCACATACAAATCACAAAGACAATTCCTGCAAGTAGCAAAAATTAGGAACATCTTGAACATTAAGAGACGAAAAATCTAGCAAGCACTTGCGCGTATAACTTCTGCAAATATAATGCCTATTTAATTTTGTAATAGTAATAGATTTAAAGAAGGAAAATATCCAAGATTAGCAAACATCACCAAAGATAATTATTTATACCAGCAACATTGGCCAGCTCTAAGAGACTATTTTCCACAGCTAGCAATTTCGTTAATTCAGAATGTACGAACCTATTACCAGAAGATGTAGACTTGTTAGTATTTTTATACAAAAATGAAAACATCTAATGCAATAATTAAATAATTGATTTTTTAATCATTTGATTTTTTGTCCTTAAAAGATATGAATTGCGTTGTAAACATTTAAAAAATTTACTTTGAACTATTTGATACTATTATAAAAACTATTATAAAAACTTTGGTATCTTATCGTTAATCCGGGTACCCAAGTATCTCACAAGTAGCAGCCTTAATCGCTTTACCTATTTTATATTCTAGTCTTTGTATGTTGCATAAAAATGTAAAAAGTACCTATTAACTGTAATGTAAATATTATTCTAAATATATATATACATTTATTTTACCTAACTTAGTAATGGTACTCATTGTTCCTTTTGCATTATAACAATAAGTACAATCAATGACATACCCGTGTGTTAAAAGAAGAAATGAACCAGTTTTGCCCCAAAGCAGTTTCTGTTTGTTACATTGTTATATTAAAACTAATAAGGAAAGTAAATAATGCGTAATAATTGTGTTTTCTAAGAAAGACGACAAAACTTATTTATAATTATCAC